TAACCCACTTATAAAAGATCTAGCTTTAAATAATCAAAATAAGTCTCAATAGTACTTAACAACATAATTGTCGATACAATAGTTTCTGAACATGACTAGTCAGTTTATCTGACATGAAGTTTGACTTAACCAAAGAAATTATATTTCATATCTTTACAACCTATATTGAAAGATAAACAATTTTTTACATTAAAATTCCACAACATAGCTTATGACAATTATTTCTTTTAATCATTCCCTTCATGCTTAAAATCACCTGCATATTTATGACACCATTATTTGTGACAGTTATTTAGATATGCGTTTAGAACTATTATTATATAATAATTGGTTAACTCTCTTAAAATCACCTTAAAATTTCTGCAAAAAAGATACTTTCTTAACGATTTAATGGCTCCACTTTTGAAGTAATTATGCACTCTTCTCAAATATTAAAGTTGTTGGTTATAGCAATTTGTAAGAAATAAACTATTGCAAATCAATTATAACTTGTCCAAATACATTTATATCACTTATTCCATAACCACAAAAATCATCTCCAAGACGAAATGAGTTGATTTTCAATAATTTCAAGTGTGTGTGTGTGTGTACATAAATACAAACATATATATACATGCTTGACATAAACAATTATTCAAAAGAGAATAACCAAGACAAAATGAGTTGATTTTCAATAATTCCAAGTAACCTTTTGGACATGTGCTTGAGAGGTGATCAGTTTAGCACCAACCAAGAGAATACCCAATAATCACGTTTTAAGAGAAGAGATCCATTCCCTTCCAAATGCGGATAAGCATGATTGGGAGATCATAAGCAATCAAACCCCGTAGATAGTAAACTCCACAGGATTATCAAGAATGAATAGGAAGTTTGAAATGAATGTGAAAAAATTGTAACAGCGCATCAGCAGGGTTTAGGTATGGGATCTGGCAGCAGAGACACGTTTCAACCTTGATGTACTGTGTAAAAATATTGAGCTTTACCTAGGAAATTGATAAAGCATTCCCGACATACCTCCTTTATACCAAGAAAATCGGTATTTCTAACTAGGCTATTACAAGGATTAGTTTATCTGACTTATATAAGGAAAGAGAGAAGAATAAGGAGCCGCTTCAAGCTGGATAATCAAAGATTAAGATGGCAAAACGGTGGCCATTCTGAATGCAACTACATGAGCTCATGTTGCAACATCAATTTTCAGGAAATAAGTTTCAATAGAGATTGAGAAAAATAAAATACATGAACAGTAGAACTCAATCAGAACAGCTAAAAAATCTCTTATAAGTTAATCCATTGATTGCTTTTAGCGATGGCAATTTGAATAAAAATTTTGTTGTAGAATAAAACTTTTTTAAAAGACATGTGCACCAATGTATAATCAGTTCCAACCTAGACCAATTCACATGTGTTCATGGAAGGAAGTATTAAGAATACACCCAAAACATACAACAACAACAACAAAATCAACATCAAGCCTTTATTCCACCAAGTGAGGTTGGCCGCATGAATCTTTTTTTCTCCATTATGTGAATCTTTTTTTCTCCATTATGTCCTATTGAGTATCATATTTACATTTAATTCTAATAGATTAAGATCATTTTTTATGCAATATGCCCAAGTCTTTTTAGGTTAACTCTATGTTTCTTAACATAAGTCAAATCTAAAACATCTACTCTCCTAACCGGATCATCAGATGGTCAACGTTTAATGTGACCAAACAATCTAAGACGACTCTCTAATCTTGTCTACCACTGGAACTACATCAACCCTTTCACGGATAAATTCGTTTTGTATTTTTTCTCTAAATGTCAAGATGCTCATCCACCAAAGCATTCTCATCTCAGCAACACTTAACCTTGTTTTATGCTTCTCTTATAAAAGGGCAACATTCTACGCCATAAAGCATTGTAGGTCTCACCACCTTTCATTTAAGTTTAAGCTATACTTTTCTATCAAAAAATTGGCTCGATGCTTTTCCACACTTCAACCAACCAACTTAAATTCTACTAAAAACATCCTCATCTATATCACCATCACTTTGAACAATAGACCCTAAATAACTAAAACATTCACACATTTTAATGATTTGATCATCCATAGTTACAACCCAGCCACTAGAGCTACTATTACTAAAATCACATTCCATGTACTTAGTTTTAGATCTACTCAAATGAAGGCCTTAGGACCATAATGTCAACTTGCATAATTCAAGTTTTTCATTCTCTACTGTTATCCACAATAAAGATATCATCAAACAAAAGTATACACCAAGGTACATCCTCCTGTAAATATCCAGTAAGAACATCCATAACTAAAGATCCATAACTAAAGCAAAAAAAAGCAAAAAGATATGAACTTAAAGTCGATCCCTGATGTAATCCAACTAAAGTAAGAAAATAATTGGCCAATCCTCATTAAGTTCAAACACAAGCAATAGCTCCAGTATACATATCTTTAATGAGTTGAATATATATAAGTCATATCAACACATTTCTTTTCTACAACTCTCCAAAGAACATATTTTGGAACCTTATCGTAAGTATTTTATAAATCAATACAAATCATATGTAGATCTCTCCATCAAACAGCTCAATAAATGTATAGCTTTCATAGTAGACTTGATTGACATAAATTCAAACTGAATATGAGAAATCTTTGTGCCACATCTTAGCCTATATGCAATTAACATGTCCCACAATTTTAGAGTATGTCACATTAACTTAACTCCTCTATAATTGTCACACTCTTAGCATTCCCTTTATTCTTAAAAATGGCGACCAAAGTACTCTTCCTCCACTCCTCAGACATATTTTAAGTTTTTCAAATAATATTAAAGAGTTTAGTAAACCAAGAAAAGAGTTTAGTAAACCAAGGAAACTCCCAAATCTCATAAATATTTTCACACTTCAATTGGGATATCATCAAGTCCTACTGATTTTTCACTCTTAAATTTCTTTAAAGTCACATCAACTTTTTTTTAACTAATGTGAAGATAAAAATAAAAAATATTATTATTCTTAATGATATTAAGATCACCAAGATCGATCATATTATCAAAAATTTCATTGAAAAGTCTAATAGAATAGCTCACCCAACTATGCTAAATATCTTCCTCTAAGAAAAGTACTTTTTAATTTTTATCTATATATATATATATATATATATATATCACCCTCTTTAATATCTAATATATTATAAAGATTACTAAAAACAGAATTTTTAGTGTCACAAATTGTTTTCTTAGACTCTCTATGGGCCAAATTATATTTTTCTCGGTTTTCTAAGTTTTACATTTAAACCAATTTTTATAACATCTCTTATATTTTATCTTTTCTTGCACATTATCATTCAACCACCAACTATTATTATTTATTAAAATTTTTACTTTTAATTCTCCAAAGACTTCTTTTGTTATTTATTTAATATTTCATGAACATCCCAAATCTTGAAACCTTGAAGTTTACTCATAAAAAAAATATTTTATTTGTGTTTTTTAAATGCTCTCATCTAATTTTATGACAATGTTTCATTATATTCTTTATCTTACAACTCCTCATCTAAAAATCCAGAATTAATAATCGATGTTGAGTACTTAAATTTTTATTTGAGATAAACTTACAATCTTTACAATCTTAACGATCTCTTTTTCTCATAAGAAAATAATCAATTTTTATTTTATTAGATCCATTCTTATAAGTCATAATATATGCATCTATTCTCTTAAATAAATTATTAGCAATAATAAAATCATAAGCTAAAGAAAAATTTAATATGATTCAACCTTCTTCATTAATCACTCCAAAACGTAGCCATCATGAAGATTTCTAAAATCTTCTAACACTCTACCAACATTTGCATTTAAATTTTTCCCAATAAAAATTCTTTCTTCAATGGGGGTATCATTTGTATGAATTCTTCTAGGTCATTCAAAAATTTTTCTTTTGAACTTATATCTAAACCTACTTGAGGAGCATAAGTATTTATAATATTAATTAACCTTAGTATCAACAACAATCTTTAGGCATATCATTGTATCTCCAATTCTATTAATTTTTATAACAAAATCTTTCAAACTTTTAAATTCACACCTACACAATTTCCAGTGTGACTCCTACCCAAATACCAAAGTTTAAAACATAAGCTATCAATCTCCATAATTTTTTCTCCAAACCCATTTAGTTTCTTGAATGCATAAGATATTTATATTCCTATGAATCATAATGTCTACTAATTTCAATAATTTACCTTTGAGAATATCTATATTTCAAGATCCTATGAGTGCACCTATATTTCAAGGTCCAATCCTAATATTAGTTTCATAATAGCTTAAGAAATAAAAATAAAAAAGTGGCGACCACAAAATACAGATGCACAACCCTCAAACCATTATCACTTCTCACGGGTTCATTTTCATAGGGAAGAGACATTTATCATATCATATGTACTAAAAAACATTTTTAAAGTAGGTTACATACAAACAAAAAAGTTTATACTGGTAAAATGCATCAAATTGACATCATCAAATACTTCTGAACATGACCATTAAGAAAACAGAGGCAGACATAACGTGGACTTAAAAAAAGCAGACCCAAAATAGAATTACAAAAGTATAGTGAAGGCAATACATTATTTTTAAATGCAGTGCAACAGTAAAACTCATAAAAGACGATATAAGCTTATCAAAGTGTGAAATAAAGTCATGGGAAGTAGTTGACAAAACCCAAAATCTATTCTTTTATGGAAGAATATTTGAAAAGAGGAAAACATTAACGAAATGATGACAAAATTTATGATATAAAATTTCAAGTAAATTAAAGTTCTAGTTCGTTTCCTTCCAAGAAATACACAGCAAGCAAACCAAAACCTTGAAATGCGGCTTAATGGTTTCAACATAAAGACAATTCAGTAAAATATGATGTTCTTCCTAGCAATCACATAGTTTTACAATTAACGTATTAAATGCGAACATGTTCCTGAAAATCAAGAAGCAGAAGACTCACATTTCTAGAGATAACTGTCCGCATAAAACGAATAGCAGCCACCACCAAGAATCTCTCTCTCCTCCTAGTCAAACACAACACTTTCTCTATAGCATTGGTCTTAAGAAAGTGGCATCTATAAAAAACAAAATTTTGCAGGATTTTAAGCTCTAAAGGCTAAACAACAGACAGACAAGCAAGCAAGCAATTAAATTAAGCCTTGCCTAATCTTGTATGTATGATGGTGCAGGCAAAAGCACAGCAGCTCGCAAATGTTGGATAAAATTTCAGCCTTTGAAGTAGAGTTGTATTCACCTGTTCCACCAGATACAGTTGATTTACCATCTGCATGCGAACTATTTCTCGGTGGGCAAGATGATGCGATCACATCTATTAATTGGTCCAAATGTTTTTCATAGAAAATCTCTATAATACTGTCCCTCTGCAGCACAATTAAGAAATGATGAAATGGAGTAAGAACATAGAATAAATTATTTATAGCAAATTAACCAAGTCATATTGCATAATGATTGAGGAAGTTAATCATTACATGCTCACTGAAGAAAAAAATAAAATCCACAGCATAACTAAATATATATCCTACAATGCAGGAAAAGGAGCCAAAACCAGTGCATAACTTGCATCAATAAACTTAAGAAAGTAAAGGGATGGATGCCTACAAAGTGGTCATTATCAAAAGCTCTGTGACTGATAATCATCAACCAATTTTTAAAATAATTCCCTGCATACTAGGTTCCAAGTTTCTACACTCTCTCGCTTGCAATTGCTTGACAAAAACTTCCAAGCATCTTGGAATATTAACAACCCTGACTGCTACAAGATGATAAATCACTTTGATAATCTCCTATATAGAAAATTTGTTTTGGAAAAGTAGAATTATAACATGTCATTTTGGTTATGAACTCTCCTTTTAATTGAGAGCATTCTAAACTCCAGACAAATTTTCAACCCAACAAACCCTTTTTGTAATTCCCCATCTACTGAAAATTTTGAACCCATATTGGCAAGTATTTTATCAAGAATTGCTATTAGTGCAAAAATCTCAAACTTGTAGGTGTTATGAGGAATCCACAAAATGATCAAAACTAGGACAACTTGACAACTTAAAAATTAGAGGATGGGTCTATTACAAACTGTTAACTCCTCTAAAACAAACGATTTTACTAATTGTCAAGCTTCCCAAAGATACTAAAGATATATTGGTAGGACAAGTCTAAAAATTACAATCCGACAATGACGTCTAAAAATTAGAATCCGACAAAGACACCAATTTCCATTTAAAGTTGATGCAAAGTTGTAAACACCTTCTTACAATAGCATTACAATAGAGCAATAAATGCAATGAAGGTAAAAAGTGAGCTGGAAGTGTTAAAACCTACCTCCCTTTTTACAAATATAGTAACGAACAAAGACATCTCTTATGCTCAACTAAAATTATTCTCACATAGATTCATGTAGTGAAAATGTATGCAAAAAACATGATCGAATAAACATGTCAGGTCCCAATTGAAAGGTCTCATCGAATCTCTGTTCTAACATATCAGCTACAAGGAAGACCAAGGGATTCAATAGCAACAACTAAGGGAAAAGTAAAAGCAAATTGTCCAGGACTATATCACAGAATTATGAAGACGAGCCTTTTCATTGGAGTGACCTGACGAGAGGTAAGTTTTCATGAAGTCTAGATAATAAGCTTTAGCGAAAGATAAAACTCGTCCCATTTAATAGTATTGACAAGGCTAGTTCCAAGAACATAGCAACTGAAAAAACATAAGATTAAGCCTAGATCAAGAAAAAAGCCAATCTAAAAATAAAAAGAAAAACAAGCAGCCAAAATGCCTAGGTCATAGTATTCTAAAACAAACTAAGAATCAAGAGCTCTTCTACCTCTTCTTTACCTAATTATAGCCAATGCGTGATCCAAGAAAAACTCACTCACCCTAAGTCATTTAAAATACAAGAAACATAAACTCCTTTAAGTGATTCCATCAATGAGGAAAGATTGATCCATAGTTTGGTGTGTTTTTGGGTCAATAACTAGGCATCAAGAGCTCTTTCTACTTTATATATATTTAGTTACAACTAATGAGTGAACTGGAACAAAAAAGAAAATAATAAAAATAAAAATAAAAAACCCAGCTCTAAACCTTTTCAATTACATGAAATCTATCCAAGATGGTTCAGTTAAGACCTAAAAAGTAAATATACTTCTCTAGTAAAAAATTATGCATAGGAACCAAGGTTACAAAGAATAGATGAAAGGTCTAGGGAAAGCTGTGGTGGGCTGCGTTAAAACTTCTGATTTACATAATTACAGGGGTTAGAGGAAAAGCTTAAATACCATGCAAAGCTATAAAAAGCTTTTTTTAAGTCTAAGATGGTGAGAGCCACCCCCGCCCCTCTTTTAAATCCACCACTAGCATGGATGTGGCAGGTGGCCCAGTTGAGGTTTAGCGAGTAAACAAAAGAAAACACATAGAAAAAAAAAAGAATGAGGTAGAGAAAGAGCCACTAGAAAAGCCAAAATAAAGAAACTGGTTGAGTGGAGCAAAATGTGGAGGAATAGCTAAGAGAAGAGTGAAAAATTGAATATAGAGAGAGAAGCGGCAGTTAATTGATTCCTACAGAAGGAAGGCAGCTTCTTTCATTACTATGTTCAACAATGGATGAGTTGGAATAGATCTACGGTTGACAGACCCAAATAAAATCTCAAGTCGGGATGTTTCCATGAGATAAAAATAAAAAATTATTTGAATTTACAGGGCACATGCTATTTATATTGCTACAGAAGGTGAATAAATTAGATATTATGAATTAAGATGCCTTTGGTAACTAGAGATAAAGACATCCCCATGCATGGAATTAAAAAAAAACAGCATGTATTCTTCAAACAAACTCATCAATCCAAAACAGCAACAAGATCATTGAGAAACAAAGAACGCTAAAAATTATACCACAATATATTACACATGAGATTAATAAAGTCAGACCAGGTCCCAAGTCAGAACAAGATAAACAGAATAATATCAAAATTGACGATATCCTCAACAAACAAGTCCCCAAGTTCATCTACATGCATAGCATATTAAATCACATTTATATCTGTAAACACAAAGTTTCAGGAATTTATCCCTATTATGGTACTAAAAGAGACACTATTTTCATTTTCCTTTAAAGCAACACCTCTTCAATGTTATTTTATACCGTCTATAACAGTTGCTGGTCCATTAATGCAATCTATAAATCAAACATGTTCTACTAAAACAGTTATATTATTAAACTATGGATGTTGACGTAGAAATGATATTCAAAATGATGCAATTTTAGTACGAGCATAACTAGCAGAGTTTAAGGGAGCCGTGCTTAGTTCAAGCTTGCCTCAAACATAACAATAAAGAGTACATATTTCGCTCAAGCTTGTAAACCTTAAAAAACATTCTTTACTGGGCTAAACAGAAGCCCTGTGCTCCACAAAAAAGTATAATAACAACTATGAAAGAAAAAGTTAAGCTGTAGCAGCAAGAATTAATGAATTCCAGTACCTCTTAGAAAATATTGCAGCCTACATAGACCACTATCCAACTACGTCTATTAATCCCAAGCATCAAATGCAGGTATTAAGAAAACCCAAGCATCAAATACAGGTATTAAGAAACCTCTCGACATGGAAGATCCAATGGTTACATGGCCATACAGAACTGACTGCTAGATCTCCTAAGCATTACACACTCCTGAAAGCGCTATGCCAATAGCTAAGATGACTACAGCTCAAGAATGCTTCTGCCAAAAGATTGTTGAATGGGGTGGTGGGGGGGGGGGGCCAAGCGACCCTAGGGTTCGGTCTGCCGCCCAAGGGGAGGGGCCTCCCCCCTCCTATTTATACTACTACATATACAAACATATACATTACATATATATATATTAGAAAGCCCAAAAAGGCTAATATATTAACTAAAAAGAAAGATACAGATACAATGTGTTGAAGGGCCCAAACATGACACCCTATTCACACAAAAATCACAAGTGGTTCCAAAACTAGAAAATACAGAAATGTTCAGTAGAGACATAAAGAAAAAGTCTTAAAATGTTGAAATACAAAGTATCAGGTGGCTAGAGAGCAACCCAATTTGGTGTTAGGTTGTTGATATATATATCTGTGTGTGTGAGCGCCCGCATGTGTGCATTTTCAGGTGTTTGGGTTCAATTTTTGTGTTTTTTGTCTAGACAGTTGTCGACATCCCTAATTTTCCTCTTACAGTTGTATCCGAGAACAACTGGTGCCCCTGTAGCTCGCCCCGAGATGGTGATTATCATCAACTTTCCCACATCCTCCGCAACCTTGTCCACGCCATTGTCGTATTCACTTTTGCAACCATCCACCTCACCAGAGACAACAATCTGGCTATCACCTACAGCCCCAAAACTGCACCTGCCATCCCACCAGAAAATAACCTATATTGCCTCAGCTGCAAGCTTCTTATCGCTCGTTCTAATCCCGTTTCTGCCATCGCCAGGCCCTCCACCTTCATTTGATGTCGACCAGCCCTCCTGCACCCCCACCTATTGTCATCAACCCGTCCCACACCCGCATCTACTACCGCCAACCCCTTCCAGCACCCAAAATGTTGTGACCAACCCTCCTGCATCGCCACCTCATGTCATCAGGCCCTCCTGAACCGCCACCTAGTGTTGTCAGCTCATCTTGCACCCCCACCTGTTGTCGCCAGCCCCATCCAATACCCACTCTGCTACCGAAACATCTCAGACCGCTACCCACATGTTGGTCAGCCAAGGTTCATGCCATTCGTCCCCGCCCTAGAGGGGCATTTGTGTTGTGTTATTTTATTCCTATTTTAAGTGTTCACATTGTGACCCCATTTGAAATTCAGCAATAACACTTGTGTTTCCATGAGTTTTGGGTTAACTCCAGTATCAATTGATATCAGAGCTAACCTAACACTAGTTCTATCCTAGGGTTTGCTAACATCCGACATACTCAAACCATCTCCACGAACATTTTTTTCCTTACCACCAAATATCATTTCCACTCCCAAAAATCCCAAACCCAAACCATGCCACCAAATAGATATATGTCAAAGCCTACCCGGGAAGAGAAACATTAAGAGCTCTGTCATCTTCAGTAGAGGCTTGCGAAGATGAATGATGAAACCCAGAGGGCGATTACCCTTGATCGTAATATGGAGAATTGAAGGGGAGAAAAGAACGAGAATCTAAATCCCTTCTATATGGATGACTTAGTGATGAGGAAGACAAGCACTGACGCTTTGGAATTCAGTATCATAGAAGGCCGAGAGAGGAGGCTACATATAAAGGACAGGGATTTTGGCATCAAAGTGGATCTACCGGAGTTCTATGGTTATAAAAATGTTTCTGAGACTCTGTCAACTACAACAGAGAGGC